GCCTACCTGTATAAGTGCAGGCAGCGGGTTAGTCGCTGAAGCTGTAGGCTTTATGCTGCATTTCAAAGTCTGGAAGCATGTCCGAGTTAACTAGTTCCCAAAAACAAGGGCGGTTGGGCAGGCTATTTTGGAAATGGCTAGAGAGGACTTGCTAACCCCATAGCTATCTCCTGTGCTCAGCACAAGGGAGACTGTGGCTGCTTTGCTGCTGGGTTGGGAATGAGCAAGCTATGAGCAAACGATGCATCGGCCCCACAGCCCATCCAAGCAAAGGGGAAGATGCTTTTGTTGACTCCAGCAGCCTCTGGAGCTTGTTACTCCTCAAATTCTTGCAATCAAAGCAGGATGACCCACGGGAAGCTGTAGGTTGGTGTGAGGTTTGCTGATTAAAATCTTTTGTTTATTGTGTGAACAAAAGCCTGAGCCTTGTGCTTCTACAGACCTGTCTGTGTGTGTGTTTAGTCTTATACAGATTCCTTCTCCTATAAATGGGTAGCCTCTTCTGTCCCTTCCTACCCCCCGCCTCAGGCCATCGTTCCTGCTGTCACAGTAGAAACCCTGGGGATGACAGAAGGAGCTGTGTGCCCTTGCTTGTGTGAGCAGGCATCTACGCTGGGCTCATGTATTTCAGCCGTGAAAGAAGGTGGTTTGTTATCTGGATGGTGGCAGGAGCCGTGATGCTCCTGCTGGACAGGGTGACCGCAGGCTGGGGTGCCGAGGTGCAGGCGGTACCTACGGAGGTTCAGCTGGTACGGGCTGTAGGGAGGAGAAACCTGCTTGCAGACATTTCACGGCTGTGCAGGCGATCTTAGTTTTGCTGAGCTCCTGCTGCAGAAATTATTTGAATGTGGCTGCTCTAATTAAATTTCACACAGAGAACTTCAGGACCACCCTTGTGTATTCATACTTAGATATTATAGGAAAAAGGGGTCATTTGTGACACACTTTTATTGCGCGATGATATACGCACTGTTTCAAAACTGTTCAATTATTGGAATTAGGATAAAACTCTCTCAATAATCTGTGATCTCTGGAGATTATGGCATTTTTGTTTCCTGTTGGTATATAGAGGCGTGTCTTTCTTGCACCCTTACTCAACTGGATGATGTCTCCAGGCGTGACTGCAGCATATTCAGAAATATCATCCCACTTATTTTCCTAGTGGAAAGCTCGTTTGTGAAATCCTGTTTTGGGAAGTAGTCAAATGACTGGGGATTTTGTAATTATATTTGCAATATTTGAAGCCTAATATAGATTTCTCAGATGGCTGTTTCGCTCGTCATTCAGTTTTAATCAGTGATAATGTATGTGTCAAGCTTATTTCACTCAACTACAAAAAGTGACTAAAACACGGTCTGCTTTTTCAGGTAGCAGAGAATCAAAGCATAGTCATCAAGTAGTCTGTAGATCGTGGATTATAACTCAAAGCTTATTCAGAATGTAGCATTCAAATACCTTTACATTTTCTTTTTGTGCAACTCACTGCTCCCCTCAGATAAGTAGTAGTGAGGTAATAGCAATGGTGCTAGATCATAAAATATTATGAGAAGCGTGATGAGATTTGGCTATGGAGCATTCAGTTGATGGCATCCTTCCACTACTAAAAGAAACCCCTTAATTTTTGCTAAAAAAAGAAAAAAAAAGTAAAAAAAAAGTTTGTAGTGCTTGTTCCTCCAGAGAAGGGCCTGGACTTGTGACCCAAAGGCACCTGAAAATCTCTGCTCGTGTGTGTGTGTGCATGGGAAACTGTAATTTCTAAGCCTGTCTCATGACAGCTGAACGGGGGCGATGGGGATTTTGTCGGTAATACTATCTGTCTCACAGAGGAGAGGAGAAGCCAACTCTATTTATAGTTCAAATTCACTGTCAAATGCTATCTTTCACAACAGCTTTATAAATAGTGCGGGACAGATTCTCAACTGGCACAAAAGAGCAGAAAAAGAGAAGTCATGCCAACTCACGTTAGTCAAGAGAGCTAGCGAAATCATCATGAGGGTCAGACAGCACTTCAGAAACACTCAGCAGCGCTTCGCTGATCCACCCTGACACGCGTCTGTGAGCACGGGCATTACTGTAGATGGCATTTCATCCCGTATCGTGCCTCCGGGGAAGGCAAACAGCCCCCGCGCGCTGCCCCTGCTGCCAAGCCCTGCGCACTGCGAGTGACAGGGCCGGCAGAGTGAAAAATACTGGACATGGAGAATACACGTCACGACCGGTAGACTCAAGAGTTAGGCTTCTTATGGCATAACGTTTCATAAATTCATCCTAAAATTAACTCGTAATGGCCATCCTCTTGTGCTCAATGGGAAAATGCATATTAGGTGTACAAGATCACAGTAATACCACAACAGGGGTAGCTTATCTTGGCTTTTAAACCCAATAGCTAAAAAATACGGTAACTCCCTCGAAAGCATTTCAGTTACATAGGAACCTAATGGCAATTACGTCTAGATAGAGGCGGAGAGGGGTTCAGAGCCCCCAGGTGACCATCTCAGGCTTTTTTCTTCTCCCTCTGAACTACCACAAATAAAACTTGGAGCTCCAGCACAAAGGAGAGTTAGTTAAGGCAAGTAAAAGAGCTGCGTGGGAGAGTAAGAGAAAATTCCTTCTTGAAAATAGACTTGTGAAATAAGTCTTAGCCAAATGCATGGAAGATTTGAGGTCTGCTTTCCTGCTAGTCATGTCTTGAGTCAAATGAGATAGAACCAGTAGGAAATACTATGAAAGCCACATCCTGATCTAGCCAGCGTCCTCGTGGTTCATCTGCTTAGTCACTCAGTTGTAGGAGACATCTGTTAACTGCAGAAGGTCTCAAAGCAAAGTCTCTTATCTAGCAACGCCTTTTTTTTGTGATGTGTTGTTTCTCTCTTACTTTCCTGTTGGGACTAGTTGTCTTTAACCGATGAGCTCTTCCTAGTCCCGAGGATGGTTGATTGCACATAATGGTGGTAATGTCTCAAAGCAGACGTATGCAGTACCAAGATCCTAGTCTTTGAAGTTCGTGAGTCAGACTCATTCATTGTGAGTTTCTGGCAGTTTTGTGGTGGGACAGGCCTGATGGCTTCTTCTGGAGCTGTTCTCCATTGGCATAGGAAGCATTGACACCACAAGACCTTGAGACTGGACCTACTGAAGAAATCCAGAAGCTGAAGGAGCCCTTCGAAGGGCGGTGACAGTGGTAGATCAGAGTCACCGTCTCTGTGCCACTGCCGTTTGCTGGCTGTTGGTAGCCACTTGCAGGTATTTGGGCTGGGAGACGCCATTGACCCTAGGAGCTGAACATTTCGGTCACATTGAACGTGATTTACAGGGAGAGGAGAAATGTCTCTCTGGTACAGATAACCAGTGATGCAGATACCCACAATCAAAAATGCAGTGAATTACCTTTTTGCCTTTCCAAGCATATATGGATACAGTGCTCCTCTGCTTTCTTTTCCTGCAGGGAAGGTATCAGAAGTGCTGCCTCTGTGGGCACCAGCGTCATCTCTTCCAGTCTGCTGGGCAGCATCAGCCACTCAGATTATCCGAGGCTGAGCAAAAGTCAGCAGAGTTTTGCCTTGCCTTCCGTTGCCACAAATAAGAAAATAACCTTTTCTTCGAGGATTAAGCTTAGTTGATTCACAGAGGTGTAGCATTTGCAAATAATTAAAACTGGATTTTGGTACAAAAGAGCATAGTTTGCTGCTGTAGTTTTTGAAGGTTTTTCTGTCTTCCCATTTACATTAGAACTGACAAATATCCATCCATAATCTCTTCAGAAGAGTTAGGAATCAGTGCCTCGGCTCGCTCCAAATGTACCTGTTATTTTCAACAGGGAGGCTGTCCCCAGGCCGTACAGCAGAATAAGAAGGGATGATCAGTCTTCCCTTTATTCATCTGATCAATGTTTTAGCTGCCTTTATCCATCCTTCTGCATCCATCAGTTGAATGTATAGTGAATTACCTTTCTTTTTCTATGCACAACAAGGCATTTAAATGTGCAAGTAATTTAACCCACACCTGAAAACACTGGCAAAGACGTTGCAGGTCAACTTAAAAATATTAGAAATGCTTTGATCAAGAATCTCTTTTGGCTTGAGGGTAAAATAATTCTTGCATTTAGGCACTGAGGATTTTTCATATATGGTCCTTTCACTCACACAAAACCTCAACAAATCAAATGCATACTCGGACACAGTATCAGACCAGAATTTTAAAGTATTTTTGCTAGTGGAAATCATTATTTAAAGTGTATTCATATCTTCACCATACTATCCAGTACCCATTGGATTTTATTATCCATGTTAGCTCGCTCATTTATTTCCAGCATCCTTCTCAAAATCCATAAGAATTGTTAATTCCTTTTTATATCAAAGAGCATTTTTAAATATTTTTGTTTGCCTTGCAGCTTGAATATTGTTGTGCATGTTTATAGGGGAAAATTCCTTCCTAGTTACTTTGCTCCCGGACTGCTTCTCAGAGGTCAGAGCTCAGTTTCTGAAGGACCAGGAGAAAGGAGGAGGGTCTTGTGTTGCTTAGATGCGCCAGGCTTTGCAGTGCTGAGGACCCTCGTCTCTTGGGATTAGCGTTCAGCCCCTAGCACCTTGTATCTGATAAAGATGGGATTTAAGTAAATTATTAACTGTCGGTTACAGTGGCCTGGTTTGCACAACATTTGATGTTAAAACTAGCCCTTACTCCATCTGTGTGTTTTGGAGCGAGACCAGGAACTAAATTTAGCTGGTCCTGGATGCAGGGCGAGCATAGCTGTCAGTCCTGCCTGTGGCACTCGCTGCGACCCGCTCCCCTTATCCATTTACAAAGAGGGGAGCTTCCCGTGGTTTTCAGACTTTTTGAATGACATTGGATAGGTTTGTTCTGCTCTTCTCATGATTATTTAGATGTAAATGCAGTGCTGCCTCACTTCTTATGCTTTTTTGGTTGTGGACAAATGCTGCTCAGCAGGCCAAGCAGCTACTTACTTTAGCAAATGAGCTGCAAAAAAAAGGGATGTTAAAATTCTTACGTGCTTTCTAGTATTTGTCCTGGTTTCAGCTGGTATAGAGTTAATTTTCCTCCCCATAGCTGCTGTGTTTTGGATTTCGTACAAGAAGAATGTTGATAATACTGATGTTTTTAGTTATTGCTATGCCATCAAGGACTTTTTTCAGTTTCCCATGTTCAGCTGATGAGCAGGTGTGCAGGAGCTGGGAGGGAGCACAGCCAGGCAGATAGCCAAGCTGGCCAAGGGAAATATTCCATACCATGGGCGTCATGCTCAGTTTATGAATGGGGGTTCGCCGGGGCGCAGGAGTTCTCCTTTTCTGAGAGTTCGAACTTTTCTGTGAGTTCAGTCTGTTTTCAGGAGTTTCGCGCAATTCACAAAATCTGCAAGTTCCGTGTTCCGCGATCGCTGCCCGGGGACTGGCTATGCAACTGGTCGTCGGGCAGTGAGGAAAAAAATTGTATTGTATATCATTTGGGTTGCATATTCACTATTGTTATTGTTAGTAATAGTAGTGTTTTCCTTTGTTGTTTTATTAAACTGTCTTTATCTCAGCCCACAAGTTTTACTTTTTGTCCATTCTCCTCCTCATCCTGCTGTGGGGGAAGGGGTGAGCGAGCGGCTGTCTGGTCCTAGTTGCTGGCTGCCTGGTTAAACCATGACAATATTTAAGCTTCTAAAGTAACTGGATACCAGCTTTCAAGTTTTTCTTCTAACTCTCATGTCTAGAAACTTTATGCTCTTTTAGAATAAACAGAGTTAGAAGAATAAACAGAATCAGAAGTCAGTCAGTCATCCAGGCACTGGAGACTCCAGCCACCAATATTGGGTGACCTGTATTAGGAGTGGGTACTCCAGTGTTGCTGACTTTCAGTGTTTTTCTAGATAGCAGCAGCAGGGTAGCAAAAAGGGCTTATGCCAGCTCTGCGTCACCGAGGAGTCCTCTCTGATCCAGTCCAACTAGCTCTACAACGCATATGAAGAGGACTAAGTCACATTCCTGTCTGCATTCTGATCATATCTCCAAGCGTTACAGGTTGTCAGACTAGATTATATTTGTATCTTCTTGTCTGCGATGATAATTTTGTTCATTAATTTCCCTCTTTGACAAAAAGAGCTAATTTAATACTTGAATTTTAAAGATGTAGAGCTCTTGAATTGTAAATTTTGAGATAATTTCAGCGCAGTACTGAGTGTACTGGGTTTTGTCCCAGAACAGACATAGTGAAGTATTACAAACTCTGACATCTCAGGAAACAATTTGTAAAAGACAAATTCCTTTCAGCATTCACTATAGTTAACAGCGATGAAGTGACAACTGAAAAAGCAACGTGATAAGAGTCTCCTGCTGCAGCCTTTCCAAGCGAGAAAGGGTGTTGCCTGTAGGGTCAAGTCAGAGCAGTGCTGCACGCACGATGAAGAAAAATCGCACAGAAAATAAGAGACTTCTTTCAAGGCAATTATGTGCATTTTTATAACTCAGGCAATGTTTTTCTGTTTCTCCAGCAATGCAATTGGTCCCCTTGTCGCACTCTGGCTTATCTATGAGCAAGGTGGTGTAATGCAAGAAGCATCGACTCCCGTCTGGCTGCTGTTTTATGGAGGAGTTGGGATCTGTGTGGGTCTCTGGGTCTGGGGTAGAAGAGTTATCCAGACCATGGGTAAAGACCTCACTCCAATCACACCATCAAGGTAGGTACACAGTTGTCATTATGATCATGTGAACTTTGTGTGTGAACCTAACTGAGAAATTGCTGCTCCAGTATTTTTTTTGTAATGCAGTTTGCTGCATTTGCTGTGCTTTGATTTTAATGATAAACTGGCTTTGACTTCTCTGTCTTTCTGAAAAATGAAAGAAAAAAAAAGAGGAAAAGGAGAGAAAGAAAGAATGAGAAAGAGAAAGGAAGAAAAGATAACTATGTGAATTAATAATGAATGTATTTTGAGGCGTAGAGGTCTCCATGAACAGTCTTCTGCTGATGTGGTAGCCAGTGCATTTGGAAATGGCAAGATTACAGTGGCTTTCCCAGCAGTGTGCTTCAGACTATTGAAACCATATGTATTCATTGCAGTAATTTTCATCCTTAATGCATACTCGACCTCTGCTGGTGCTTAACCAAATTACTAATTAGGCATGATTCACCGCAGCGTAGGGTAGTAACAGTCCCTGATGTGATGAGCTGCGCAGCCGGGTTGCTGCAGATGACTAGCCTGTGCCGTTCCCGTTATTCAGCCCTTCCTTATTCTCTTAACTTATTCCTGTGACAAAAATCAGTCGGAGATAAAACAGTCGAAAGAAGATACGGGTAAGACTTCGGCACGCTGCACGGTATCAGTCCGAGCTGATGCAAAGAGTGATTGTGAAGTGTTTTCTTATGCTTCCTGCAGTGGATTCACTATTGAGTTGGCTTCGGCGTTCACAGTTGTGGTAGCTTCCAATGTTGGACTTCCTGTCAGTACTACACACTGCAAGGTATGCCTTTGCCCAGCGACTGCAGTCACGGCAGTCTGGACTATTCATCATAAAACTGTGTCGCTCGAGCCAGGGATGATGGCACGGTGAGGGGAAAACAGCCGCTCGTGGAGGATGGTTAGGCGTAGGCGCGTCAGCGCGTCTTGGTCCTGCCAGTGACATTGGGAAATAATCAGGCTTCCAAAAAACACATCGGAGTTGTCACAGTGAAGTCACTGCAGTCAGGCACAGCGTGAACTCTGTAGCTGTGGTTAAAGAAAAACAGCACTTACAAAAACGTGACCTCAATTTTAAAGCAAATGATTACAAGGAAGAACCTGGTTTCCTCTGACAGTGCCATTTGAACCTGGTCGGGTAGCATTTCTCCCTTGTTCAGAGGCTGCGCACCATTCATCATTTATACTTCACTTTCTTGATAAGTGCATGGCATGGGATTTCCTGCATATAACTCTGTTACTACAGGTTTTCCATTTGTCCTTTTTTTTTTTATTTCTTCACAGTGGATTTTGCATTGAAGTAATGTGTGCGCTAACGGTACTTGTAGCCTCAAATGTGGGTATTCCAATAAGCTCCACCCATTGCAAGGTATTGGAGTTTGCAGTGATCGCATCAGTAAATCACATCACTAGGACAATCCATAACAAAATACGGGAGATACCGATTGCTGCAGATTGCCTTCACTATGCGATGCGCCGTGCAGACAGCGATCGCAAAATGAAGAGGACTGCTTTTAAAGCCAGTACGGCTAAGCAAAGTCAGCATTATAAGTAATTGCACAAAAGTCTGGAACATCTTTCACCCTTACGTGGTAGTATGAACTAATATAGACATATTAAAATAATGTAGACTCGTAGTTTGTGTGATCCCAGTTACACATATTTTAGAGCCACCTGTATGAAAAACACTGCTACATCATTAAGCTAATATTTTAACATCTTTCTTCTTTTGAACCAACTTGTCCTCACTTTTGTGCGTTATAATACAGAATCCGGCCCTTGTAATTAGTTTTTTGAACAAGGTTGTTGGCTTTTTTTAAAAACAAAAGACCAGTTTGAAGTACAGATATAGGCTGGGTAGTAAGCAGAATTTCTTTGTGTCATATGACATGCTGTGTGAGAAGACATTTGTATTGCTTGTAGGTAACAGGGAGCATGTGGACATTTACACTGCTGAAAGAACATAGTGGGAATTTGGAATTCTGTTCCCCCAGGAAATTCCCGAGTCAGATATCCCGTCTTTCGTTCCTTTGCTTCCCCATGGACTCCCAAGCTCTTGGATGCGCAGAGCTGTCTGTATCCATCACCTTCTGGCAGGGCGTGGGGAAGCCCCTCCAAAATCAGAGACCCAAGAGCAGCAAAGCCCCTCCACTTCGGGACATACCACCAAGCTCTGCAAGAGCCAGCCCCTGTAGGATTCACTGCTGCACCCTGGGGACTGGGGAGCCCTTCCAGCTCAGGCTGGGGCAGGCAGGTTTTCGGGGCTGACTGCTCCATGGCAGGGCAGGCGGGCTGGCAAGAAGCCGAGCATCTTTGCCTGTGACATTGACCTGGTTTCCAGTGAAAGAGTCAATGAAATTCACACATCCTGCGAAACGCCCCAAGTTGGTTCAATCAGCCTTTTTCTGGTGAAAACCATTTCTTCAGAAAGCCTTCCTCTATTGCAAAATCATTTCTTTCTTCTGCTGTAGAGCTCTTTGAGAAGCAGCCAAGACTGAGCTGCTCTGAAAGGAGGTTCAGATTTCCTGGCACTGGCCGAACTCTGGTTCCTCTGAATCAGGCAGGGAGGGGAAAAATGAAAACAAAGTGATCCACTTCTAAAAACGCTAGCCTGAAACCACCTCCCTTTAAGCTGATTGGTATATGAAATGCGTGCTGAAGAAGTTGCCAGGGAGAATAATACAGCTTTGATTATCCAAGTTGCATGCCTGATGCACCTCTAGCCAACTGTTGTAAAAGAGAAAATACATTTTGGTGCAGACAAATAGACTGAATTTAAAAGGAAAATGTCTTGGAAGCCATAAGCTAATGAGAGGGTGGCATTAGGAGGTATTCATTGAATCAATGCAGTTAAAAGCTTGGTCTTTTCTAACTGCAGAGCAAAATAATTATTTTTAAAGGATACTTCCATAAAAGCAGTTAATGTGGTTAGTCTGTGTCTGCTCTCTGTAGTTTGCTGTATCTCATTAGATGGATCATTCTTAGTGGGGAGATCCAATTCACAATAAGATTAGACTGTTCAAAGATGTCACATTAATATAACTGACTCTGTGTTTCGGCGAAATGAGATCCTGAGTTGAAAGAACCTAAGTGATCAACACAAGATAAAGCAAACACTTGTAAGAGATGTTTTCATTGTTTTCTTCGAGAGCCCTGTGAAGGAATAAAAGAACTATTGTATATCGTTTACTCCATGGGAAAATGCCTCTCTGAAAGTGCTCTCAGCCACTGAGACAGAAATGCCTTCTTAAAAAACAGCAGAAAAATTTCACCCTAGCAATTGAAAAGAAAATGGGTTCAAGATGACCTAGTCCTAAGCCTCTAGCATCAGGGAGTAGGAATTACTCTTTTCCCCAACATTTGCTCCACAGCAAAGTAGCGTTTGCTGAAGTGGGAGCCCTACCAAAGGGGTGTCAGTAAACTGAACATGAAGCAACTGGATGACTGATGGCAAAGAAGAAACAGTGTGAAACACCTTAGGTGGAGTGAGACCTTTTTGAGGTGAAACTATAGAGTATGATGAAAAATGGAGACCAGGTATGAAGGCAAGCTCTGGGACGCATTTTTCAGGTCTTGGAGCAGATGCAGTGGCAAACTGGGGATTAGTACTAGGAAGAAAAGCATTAGCTTCTGGGAAATATTCATCAAGCCCTCTCAGATCAGGAGTTGCATTCGGTCCTACATCAGAGGCTTTGGTCCACATGAGGTAGCCGCCACCCGATATGCCTGTCCTAAATCTACAGCCCAGCAGCTTTGCCACCCTCAGTGCCTGCTGAGAGCCTGAACTACACCTTCGTCCTTGCCACGAGTTAAAGGGGAGAGGACAGTCCCTCTGAAAGCCTCCAAGTCAGGAGGGCCTGAGGGAAAGACCTAACCTTTTGAGCCTCCAAGGGAATTTGTGAGTCTGAACACAGTAGCCCCGTTGCTCTGCCTGCACCCATTCACCCTCCCTGGGAATTTAGCACTGAAAAGCCGGTGCGGAGTGAATGCTTACCTTGCCTTTCTGCTGCCCAGGTAGGCGAGTGATCATACTGAATCTTACACATAATTGTGTTGTTAATTCTAAGATATGAGATGTAGAAATAAACAGGCCTTTCTCAGCTGTAACAGATTGAACGTGTTCACATTCGGATAAAATTTGAGCACAGGAGTTAAATGATTTTTGTGTGCAAAAGCGACTTTGCTGAGGTCATACTGTCAGCTCTGTTTTGCTATTATGATTTTGGGGTTTTGAAAAATATTTTCTGCGTTGCTATGATGGAATTATCACGTTCTCTGTGTTAGTGTGATATGCCATTGCACAGGATCAAGAGAGACAAAAGCATTTCTGTAATGCTTTAAGCAGAGCATACTGAAGGCAAACTGCACTGGTTTCAAACCAATCTCAAAGTAGATACCATCTGAAATCCTGCAGACGGTGTAGTGTCCCTACAACCAAGTTTTAGCTACTCTCCTAACCTCTAATCCATCAAAATCACTATTAATAAACTAAACTTTAATAATGTTTATAACAGATTACCAATGCCATCATTGCTGATACCTTTTAAATTTCAGGAAGGACTCGGAGATTATCGTACGTAGACTGCAGGCGCGCTCAATAAGCAATGCTTCTTGTTGCAAGCATGACAAACTGATGCTGAGGGCATGCAAAATGTAGATCAGAGCCTAACAGCTGAGCTGCTGAAAAACCAAGCGCTGTTTCCTTGGGTTAATGCTTTGATATAGTTCAGAAGTGTGAGGTTCCTTTTAGCTAGGCACCTCCTAAATACACTTACACCTCCTAAATACAGAACAGCATGTTGTCCACTCAGAGGATATTCAGATGAAATGTTACCCAACAGATTTCCTTATTGGATCAAGCTTTAGACCAAGACCTTTTCAATCCTAGAATATGAAGTTTAGTTTTTCCTTGTTCTGTCACAGGCACTTTTGAGTCTTATTTCCCTAGAGTGACAGGATCTCCCTCAAATAACTCTTTTCTCCAAAAAGAAATGTTAAACAGGAGATTGGAAGTCAAACAGGTGTTAACAAAAGATGCGGATTCAATATCCCCATCCTATCTCTCCCTGCTTCCCTGTCCTCCCAGCATTTATTGTTTTTCTGGCTCCGCACATGGGGAGCAGCCCATCGTCTAATCCATAGGCAGGGACTGATACTCCCATTAAGAAAACAAGCAGGGAAGAGGAGGCAGGGATGGCATTTCAAGGAGCAAAAGCCCAGCCATGTCTTGGAGTTTCCTTTCCTTCAAAACAGGATATTCCTTCCACATTTCATGCTGCTTTACCATGTGCTTTGAATAGACTTGCACTGATTTACACAGTTTTTGTTAACGGCATGGAGGGCCGCTTCCCGGGCAGAAAGAAAACTGCGTTTCTGAAGGTTATGCGTAATTTTTCACCGGAGATGTTTTTTTCAGTCCAGTTTCTTAAAAAATAATATGCTGGGTTTATACCTGAGCTTACTAACTGAAAACACATTTGAAGGAAGAAAAGGTAGCTTTGCTCATGCCACAGTGTGTTTTGTCTTCAAAAACACTGATCTACCCAGCCGCCCTAGTAGCAGTGCCTTTGAAGGATATTTTGGTGGTTTATCTGTTCCCCACCTGAAGCCAGACCTCTTGATGTCCATGCAGTTTGCATGCCCCATAGCATCAGGCTGATGTCTTTGTCCCCAGGGAGGATTTTAGCTCCGGATGCTTTGCTTGGCTGGCTGGTCCAGAGGGGTTGGTTTTCCTCGGAGGGCTTGGGCTGATGAGTTTGGTGGAGGGCAGCTGTACTGGGTCTGTCCTTGCGCTGTCTGTCTGCCCCTGCCAAGTTACCACTGCTGTTACAGGGTGGGCTCAGCTGCTTTTTTGGCTGTTGCTGTCCTGTTTATAGCCCGCAGTATTGAAATATATAGGTGCTGTTTGGAATCCCATCCCGACCTGCCCCATGCCATACTCTCTGGAAGAGCCTTAAAAACAACTTGCCCGGTGTTTTCATGATTTCGACCGCAGTCTGGCCAGACTTCGTAGGCACTTGCCCTCCCCCCTACAGACCGAGTCAGGCGCTGGGCAGGTGGAGGGCTGCCTCGGTTGCCCTCCTGGCTGGTCCGGGAGCTAGCAGGGTGGAGAAGAACCCACAGATGTATTTATTCTCCTTTGGCTGACCCTGAGACCCATGAAAAACAGGAGATCATTCTAAAATAAAGGTTAAGGCACCCTGGAATTGTCACCCTCCTGCCACCACACCAGAACAGAGCCATCATCAGGGCTCCTTTATGTCAGAGCATTGCCTGGTATCAGCTGACTGGCATTGGTGTGGCCATGGGCATGTTACGGGCACTCAGACCTGCACTTCACATATTGTCTCCCTCTCTCTTGCCTGCGCTCCCAAGGTCGGCTCCGTGGTGGCCGTCGGCTGGATCCGCTCCAAGAAAGCCGTTGACTGGCGCCTGTTCCGCAACATCTTCCTGGCGTGGTTTGTGACTGTGCCGGTGGCCGGCTTGTTCAGCGCCGGGGTGATGGCGCTGCTGATGTACGGGATCTTGCCTTACGTCTGAAGAGCCTCCTCCGCTGGGAAAAGGGGAAACGGCCAAGCTGCTACCGAGGGGAGAAGCGTTCCCATGAAAGAGCCAGTTGGAGAGGATCCATCTTCCATATCTAACTTCTTATCTACTGTACATAACAATGTGTCATACTGGTGACATGGTGATGTGGTGCCATTTCTTATATATTAAAGAAATATATATGCATATAGTAGGTAACAATACCTAAGTTATATTATCAGTGGGGTGAAAATAATTGCCTAGGATTTAATATTTAGTAAAATTTGTACATAGTGTATCATTTTGGTGGCAATTTTTTAATCTTTTGAAGAAGCGTATGGATTAGGAAATGTTTCTTGTCCATTTGATACGAGAAGAAGTGAGGTACAGGACTACGTAACATGAATTTTTTTAAAGGTATTAAGATACTGGAACAAAATAGAATGTGCAGAAGTTCTTTTCATAAAATAACTGTTCATATCATGTTGATCTTTGTGTATCATAGCGTGATGGTTACGGCTGTGTAAATACTTACAAACAGTAACTTTTAAATGGTGCGTTTCCCTGATATATTTTGGATAAGAAAGTTTAGGAAGTACCAAAGAAGCAGGGGAATAGCTTATCGATATTATGTTGTTGTCTCCACGTGTGGGCATGTGTTGTGTTTCCCCACCTCTAATTCAACGTTGTTTTCACCAAGGTCCCGCCAGTCAGGCTGGGATAGTACTGTTCATGTCTTAATGTAACTTTAAAAAAAAAAAAGCACACAAAAAAGTTACTTCTCGTTACTTAGTAGGTAGACCACGGCTCTCCACATTAGCTGATAGTAGACTGACTTCATTCTGTGGGTTGAAGTATCTTACTGCTCACCTTCAACTTTTCCCCTTCAAGTCCGAGCTCCCGGATGCCCTGCTGTCAGTTCCGGCAGGAGAACGGACCATCAGTCGCCCCTTGTTCTGTCCATCCAGCCACAGCCACACACTCTCGGGTGCAGCAGCAGGACCGCGGGGTGCACGGCACCCCCACGTGCAGAAGCGAAGGGCAGCAGCGGATAGGAAACGGGCTTAGCCCGGGTTTTGTGGTTGAAGGTATGGGCGCCTGTGGGAGGGCTGACCCGCACAGGGGCTGGCGTGAGGAGCATGGTGAGGACGCAAGAAGATGCTGGGTCCCCCCCAGCGAGTCCTGTCCCATGCCACAGCCCACCAGCCGCCCGCGGGGCGGCCGCCCCCGAGGAGGGGACGGGAGCCTGGCCCTGCGTGGGTAGAGGCTGCGTGGTAACCAGCATTTGGGGTAAGACTGCTTCGTGGCAGCTCAGGGGGAGATGGCTAGCTTACATCCCCTGCACGCCTTTGGAAAGCACATCTGGGTGAAGGTTACTGTTATGTGGGTGGGAGGCAAAGGGCAAGGGGTGCCCAAAGGAGGTTGGGAATCTATTACTGTTTAAATGCTGCTAAAATTTTGATAAAATGTTCTTGGTACTCCATTGTGACTTTTCCATTGGTCATTCATACTAAATTTATAATAAAAAGATAAACAGCCCCTATCACTGTTTGCCTCTTGGGTTTTGTGAACGTTACTCAGCCATGCCAGCTGTAATGGGAAGACTCCGCGGGCAGCTAGAACCTTCTCCTTGGCATCCACTGTCTGTTGTTCTTTGTCTGCCGGGGTCGGTGGGGATGAAACTGCTCTCTATGCGGCACTGACGAAACCTCCATTTTCTTCCTGCCCCAGCCCTCGCCCTGCCCGGGGCTTGGCTCGCGGGCATCTCCCCAGCGAAGTTCGGGAGCTTCACCGGGCTCTCGCTGGCTCCAACTGCCTCCTCCCAACCCTAATCCTCCCTTCTGGGGCTCTGTAAGCACCCCCCATCGCTGCAGCACCATGGAGCTCGTTTCCAACGCCTCTGAGCCCCTAAGAGCCGTGGTATACATAGCACTGGCAAACAAGTGGGACCGATGAGCAGTGGCTGAGTGCCCACCCCAGCCAGTAAACACGTGAAGGCAGTTTGGGACCTGTGGAAAAGGGTGGAAGGACTCACTCTGTCTTCGCACTTGCACAAACAAACGCCTGCCCAGTGGCCCAGCAGCTTGCCGCCTTGTGTTATCCGCAGAGACAAACCAGACTTCTCTTACCGCACCGGCAGGGACCCAGCTGCAGCCCTGCCAGGCAGAGGCAGCACACGGAGGGCTGTGCCAGCTCCGAGGGGTGTGTGATGATCCCCCAGCACACGGTGCTGGGCTTCTGTCGACGCACACATTCATGAATAAAACTGTTATGAGGGAAATAGCCAGCAAGGAAGCATCTCCAAAATATTGCTGCCCCAAATACAATAACCTTTAATCTGTAGGGAGATGGGAAACCCAACTTGACTTTCTCCATGCCACAGAGGTGTCCTTTGCCACCCCAGGAAAGCAGAATCACCCCAGGGAAGCACAGCTGGCGGAATGCCCTGCAAATACAGGCACGGCGAAAATGTCCTTCCCTCAGGCAGCAATCAGAATAGGTACAGGTCTATTTTCAGAGCAAGAAGTGGTGGGGTTTTTGCATTTTTGCAGCAGTGTGGAGGGTCAGTGGGGCATGAGAACCGAGCCTCATTTAGCCAAGACCCATTTAGCAAGCAGATGCTGATGGACCTTGACAGAGACATTGGGATGCTTTGCACCTCGCAGGACTGCCCCAGCCCCTGAACTCAGTGCTGTGGCAGAGGATTTCCCACCGCAGTTCATGGCCAACAGGTCTACAGCCCTGCCAGGGCACAGGACTTCATGGTGGCCATCAGGCAGACCTTGCTGCGTGCTGGGGAGGAGCGTGCGAAGGCTGCTGGGGCCTGGATGTTCACCTTTCAGGAAAGATGAGGGCAAGAAACAGAGAAATTGTCCGATCAGCCAGGGATAGGTTAGGAAAGCTAAAGCCCTGGTAGAATTAAATCTGGCCAGGGACATTAAGGGCACAAAGAAAAGCTTCTATAGTTATGGCAGTGATAAAGAGAAGACTAGGGAAAACATGGGCCCTCTCCAGAAGGAAATGAGAGACCTGGTTACCTGGGATATGGAGACGGTTGAGGTGCTCAGAGACTTTTTTGCCTCAGTCTTCACTGGCAGGTGCTTCAGCCACATCGCCAAAGTCACAGATGGCACCGGCAGAGACAGGGAGAATGAAGAACCAACCACTGTAGGAGAAAATCAGGTTCGAGACTATCTAAGGAACCTGAAGGTGCACAAGTGCATGGGACCTGATAAGGTGTACCCATGGGTCCTGAGGGAACTGGCAGATGAAGTTGCTAAGCCAATATCCATCACATTTGAGAAGTAATGGCAGCCCAGTGAAGTTCCCAGTGACTGGAAAAGGTGAAATATAACACCCATTTTTAAAAAGGGAAAAAAGGAAGACCCAGGGAACTACAGGCCAATCAGTCTCACCTCTGTGCCCAGCAAGATCAGGGAGCAGATCCTCCTGGAAACTATGCTAAGGCGCATAGAAAATAAGGATGTGATTAGTAACAGCCAACATGGCTTCACTAAGGGCAAATTGTGCCTGACAAATGTGGTGGCCTTCTACGAAGGGTTTATTGTGTTGATGGATAAGGGAAGAGCAACAGACGTCATCTACCTGGACGTGGCCAGCAGGGTGAGGGAGGTGATTCTGCCCCTCTACTCTGCTCTGGTGCAACCCCACCTGGAGTCCCATGTCCGGCTCTGGAGCCCTCAGCACAGGAAAGACATGGACCTGTTGAAGCAGGTCCAGAGGAGGGCCACAAAGATGATCAGAGGGCTGGAACACTTCTCCTATGAGGAAAGGCTGAGAGAGTTGGGGTTGTTCAGCCTGGAGAAGAGAAGGCTCTGGGGAGACCTTATTGGAGCCTTCCAGTACCTGAAGGGGGCCTGTAAGAAAGCTGGAGAGGGACCTTTTACAAGGGCATGCAGTGATAGGACATGGGGTAATGGCTTTAAACTGAAAGAGGGTAGTAGATTTAGACTAGATATAGGAGAAATTCTTTATGATGAGTGTGGTGAGGCACTGGAACAGGTTGCCCAGAGAAGCCATGGATGCCCCCTCCCTGGAAGTGTTCAAGCCCAGGTTGGACTGAGCTTTGCGCAACCTGGTCTAGTGGAAGTTGTCCCTGTCCATGGCAGGGGGATTGGAACTAGATCATATTTAAGGTCCCTTCCAACCCAAACCACTCTGTGATTCTATAACTGAGGAAATGCAGTCCAAATTTCAGAAGATGAAGTGTCTACTGCAGCTCATGGACCAGTGGTAAAATTCTTGACTCAAATCAGCCTGAGAAGGAGAGTCAGCTGGCAGAGTGTGAAGGTGCTAATAGACTCTAATTACCCTCATCAACCTCTCCTGGTGCCTCCGGCCTCCACTCCATATGCTTGCCACATTTCCTAGCTTGCCCTGGGACTTGCTTCATCCTTGTGTGTTTGTCTGATGGTCACTGGGCTGTTGCTGGGACTTGTTACTGCCACCAACTCTGCTCTGCTTGTGCTGCTTGGCAGTGTGCCCCACACTGGTGAATTGCTGTGGTGTGGCAACCTGTGCATCCTGGTTTGCCCTTCTCAAGGGAGCAGCCCTGTTCTTCCAGTGCCCTGCCACTGGCCTCCTGCCTCTGAGGTACGTGCCCTGTGTGCTAGTGACTGGTCAGGGGGGCTGAGCAGCCCTTGGGGCAGGGGGGCTGCCCATGCCACAGGTACCAAGGCTTGTTCTGGTGTTGGTAACTTAATGCTTCTTGCAGGATCCTGTGTGGTGTGAGAGCCCAGAAAATACAGCTGGGGAGCGTGCGGGGCAGGGCAGCATGAAGGCACAGGGCCCTTAGTTTGTCTGCAGCAGAGAGATTGGAGTTGCTTTTTGAGACCCCGAACTTGGGGACCTGGGCGCCCCTGGACTGCAAGATGATGTTGAAAAAGACTTGGACAGATACATATTTTTGGAGAGCAGAAGGCTGTTTGATTGAGGGTCTTGTGCAGTTTATGTGCTGCTACTTCTCCAGGGAAGGCAGCTGATGAGAACACGGTTTTTTGAAAGGTTTAAGGACCTCTGGGTTTGTGTTCTTCCTTTTGTTGAGCTTGCTTTAGTGACGCTAATGAGATGGCCTGATGGATCTAATGGAACACTGATTCCATCTCCTGGTTGCCAAAAGGAGTCTTAATTTGACTAAGATTTTATTGCCACTGTGGAGCTTTGTAAGCCACCACTTTCTCAGCAGTAAAGCAGAATGGAAAGGAATTATAAAGAACAAACATACGAACTGTGCTTTTCCCAGGTGAAGTTGTACAAATAACTAAGTATCACACAGCCTAATTTCTGGTATCTTAGCTTCTAGCAGAAAAATTTATTTCTGTTGCACTGAATTAAGTTACATTTTCATGTAAAGAACAAACATACGAACTGTGCTTTTCCCAGGTGAAGTTGTACAAATAACTAAGTATCACACAGCCTAATTTCTGGTATCTTAGCTTCTAGCAGAAAAATTTATTTCTGTTGCACTGAATTAAGTTACATTTTCATGCTGATTGACACAAGCAGACTTTGCTTCTACTTGTCTTGCAAAAGTAACCATTATCTGACTTTAGTTCTTGAAACTAGGCTGCTGAACTCTTGCAGTGATGCTATTTTAGTACTGTGTTGATGAACAAACACTTTGTCTGGGGGTAACATTGGTCTGAAAGATCTTATATGTGTATTACATCACTTGTTCAACTAATTGCAGTTTTCAAAAGGGCATTATTTTCCCAAGTGAAACAGTATTTTTAACTTCTACAAATATGCTGTGCTGTTACCAGCTTCCAGGTGCAGAAGCTTTTTGTCTGAGGAGGTGAATGTAAGTAACAAAAGCTTGATTCTTAACTGCAATCAGTTTTTAACACAAAGTTGGTGCCTGGAAACCAAGCACAAACACGAGTTGCATGGCTCCTTGCATCTCCCCCAGCTGACACCAAACAGCCAGCTTCAGGAAGATAAGTCTCAAATCATGACTCCTCATCTGATAAACCCCAAATTCAGGGATA